TTATAAATGGCATGAAAGAAGAGGCCAATATTATAAACAAGAATACCAAAGAAAAACAAATTTAGATTGGTGGGGTCAGGGAAAGCCTCTCTGGTTCAGGAAAAGGGGACAAGATCACCAGAGAGAGGAGAAACAAAATGGATGTAGTTTAAGGAGGAAGTGAAAGAAGAGAAGCATGCCTGGAATTCAGTGAGCTTCGGAGATGTGCATGATGAGGCTGGACACACAGGCAAGGGCACCGCTAGGCAGGGTTTTGTCGTCCAGGTAAGTATTTTGGCCTTTTTTTCCTACCGTAAACACAATGAGAAGCCATGTTAGGGTTTTAAGCAGAGAAATGAAACAAGAAATACGACTTCTGTTTTAAATGTTAATCTGGTTACGGAATGAAAAATGGGTTGGAGAAGGCCAAGAATGAGAAAAGAGGAGACAGATAAGAAGCTATTATAGTGTACCAGGCAGAAGATGAGGATGGCTTGGATTAGGGTGCTGGTAGTGCAGATGAAAAGAGTGAAAAGTTTTGGGATACATTTCAAAGAAAGAAATTTCGACTTGAATATGGATTAGATGTGGGTTTTAGGGCAGAGAGAAGGTAAAGAACAACTGCAATATACAGATGAAGTATTATAGAACTGTACACTTGAAACCTGTATAATTTTATTAACCAAGGTTGCCTCGATAATTTTAATAAAAAATATATATAACATAAAATTTGCCATTTTAATCACTTTTAAGTGTAGAATTCAATGGTATTAATTATATTATCAGTAATGTACAACCATCACCACTATCAATTTCCAAAAGTTTTTCAACCCCCAAAGAAATTCTGTAACCATTAAGCAATAATCCCTCAGTTTTCCTTCTTTCCAGTCCCTGGTCATGTCTAATCGACTTTCTATCTCTATGAATTTGTAAGATACCTCATATAAGTGGAATCACACGATATTTATCTTTTTGTGTCTGACTTTTTTACTTACCATAATGTGTTCAAGGTTTATCCTTGCTGTAGCATGTATCAGAACTTCATTCCTTTTTGTGACTGAATAATATTCCATTGTATGTATATACCATATTTTATCCATTCATCTGTTGATATAATGAGTTCTTTCCACCTGTTGGCTATTGAGAATGCTGTAATGAACACTGGCATACAAATATCTGAGTCCCTGTTCACAATTTTTTTTTTTTTTTTGTATATATCTAGAAGTAGAATTACGGGTCAATGGTAATTCTGTTTAGCTTTTTGAGGAACTGACAAACTGTTTTCCACAGTCCCTGCATCATTTCGCACTCCCACTAGCTTTGTGCAAAGGTTCCAATTTCTCCATATCCTTGCCAACACTTATTATTTTACTTTTAACAAATTATACTCATCCTAGTGAGTGTGAAGTGGTATCTCATTGTAGTTTTGATTTGCATTTCACTAATGACTAAAGATGTTGAGATCTTTTGACGTGTGAATTGGCCATTTGTATATCTTCTTTGGAGAAATGTTCATTAAAGTCTTTTGCTCATTTTAAAAATTGAGTTGCCTTTTGTTGTTGAGCTTTTAGAAGCTTTTAAAAATGTATTCTGGATATTAAGTCCTTACCAGTATATGACTTACAAATATTTTTTCTCACTTTGTAGGTTGTCTTTTTTACTTTCCTGATAATGTTCTTCAATGAACAAAAGCCTTTAATTTTGATAAAGTCCAATTTCTTTTTCTTTTATTGCTCATGCTTTTGGTGTCATATCTAAGAATCCATTACCAAATCCAAGGTCATGAAGATTTACCTCTATGTGTTCATCTAAGTTTTATGGTTTAGCTCTTAGATTTAGGTCATTAATCCATTTTGAGTTAATTTTTTAAAATGGTGTGAGGTAGGGATCCAATTTCATTCTTTTACATGTGAAAATCTGGTTGTCCCAGCACCTCCTCTCACCCCACTTTTAATTTAGATAAAATGTTTTGGGGGAAATTTGCAACTTTTCAAAATTATTCCTGATATTGAGAATATTAAATACTTACTTTCTAAAAATATTTGATTAACTGAATTTTCTAAATTGGATTCCTGTGCAGTTAACTGCTACTACTAAAGAGAAAGAAAAGAATCATAGAAGAATTGGTTCCTTAGAATCGGTAAGTGGAAACTCATTAAAAATTGGGAGTAATCCTTAATGATTTAAGAAAATGGAAAAATTAAAAGCCTTATTAAAAATAAGACAATCTGAATTATTAAGAGATAGAAATTTTGAGCCAATAACATCACTGGTTTTCAAATGCTTAAAAGGCTATAATACAGAGATTCCTAACTATTTTCCACCTTCACAGGAACAGAGCTAGAGAAAAAAATATACATATTGGACTTGTAAATGGAAAGACTTCACTTTTACACAAAGAAATAATTGTTAATGACAAAATAGGAAGATAATAATGCTTACTGAGCACCCGTCATGTATCAAAGTCTGTTTTGAGTCCCATCAAGTAGGTACTATTATCATCAGAAAACTTGGACTTGATTGAACCCAAGGAGTCCAATATTGTGTCCAGGCTCTTATCCACCAGGCTAAACCACCTGTTAAAAGTGAACTAACATTAGAACTCCCCTCTCTCCTGAGAAAAACCATTGCCTCTTCAGCAGCAGAGAATTTCAAAACAGGATGGACATTTACCAGTCAAATGAAATTCAGAATCCTGACACATTTGACGACATCGGTCTCTTGATTCTATTCAAACATCAGTCACTTTCTTACTGCTTTTCTTTTTAGCAGAACAGTTCTTATCCACTCTTATCTTTCTCCCTTCCCTAAAATGCCCAATAGAGTACTTTCAAATGTTTTGTAATATTACATGAATGTCTTCTGGAGTAATATGGACAAATGTCCAATGACACATGTCATAGGGAAACATAATACCTTTCTTCTCTCTTTGTAATCTCTGGGGTTTTGTTTTAATAATTCATGGACACATTAACCTTTTGGATGGATTTGAGAATCCTTTTTATTTAATACAATTTTGTGTTCTGAAACCAAGGACATTGAAGTATTTATTCTCTGCTGAATAGAGCACTGTGTACACACATCTTTGTTTTCTTGGAAAACATCTCTTAACCTTCATACATCTCCACAGGGCTCTAGCATGTGGGCTGGATACATATTGTTCCCTCTGTAAGAGATAATATGACATGCTCCAACAGGTGTGCTGTTATAACAATATCCTAATTTCCTTAATTCCCCTCACTCATCATTTCCATGATACTCTTTTGGCTGAGTTTGTGAGGAAAGTAAAAATTAATTTTTATAATAGGAAAAACAGAACCCGTAAGTGGCAAGGTTTCACCTGAGAAATCACAAAGTATTTTAGTGGCAGACCTGGAGCTCCAGCCCATATCCAATTATAGTAGAAAGTTAACAACAGTGGTTTTTAACTGAAGAGATTTTGTCTTACTTTTCCAGGGTACATTTGGAAATGTCTGGAGACATTTTCAGTTGTCACAAATGGGGGCGGGAGGTGGTGCTACTGGCATCTAGCTGCTAGAGGCCAGGAATGCTGCTAAACATCTTACAATGCAGAACATAGCTGCTGTAACACAGAATTATGCAGCCCAAAATGTCAGTGGTGCCACTGTTGAAAACTGTTTTAGAGTTATGGAAATTGGATTTGAACCCTGCTCTGCATCTTACTTTGTGACTTTGGGAAAGTGGCACCATTTTTCAGTCTGCTTTCTCATCTGAACAAACCAACCTGCCACCATAAACAAAGAAAAAAACCAAAACCAACCAACCCGCACTTTCTTGGGTGGTTGTGAAAGACCAACTTAAAAGCACTGAACAGAGAGTGCTGAACATATTATGGAAGTTTCTCCAAAGTGAAGTCTCTCCAACAAACAAAAACCAGAGTCCAGCCCACGGAGTTCAGTTATAAACAGGATAGAAATGGAGACTGCCAGAACGACAATGTCACTGGAATGAAAAAGAAGGCACCCTAGCTCCCTATCAGCTTTTATAGGGAAAAGAGCAAAAGAGATGGAGAGAGGCGCAAGAGAATTAAGCAGCATGGAAGACGTACTAAGAGGGTAAAGGAGGAGATAATGAGACTGGAAATAGCAGTGGGAGAACTGTATAGGTGAGAGATTTCAGCAGTGAGGTGGAGGTACATTTGAGAGACATTTAGGAGGAATCAGAACTTGGTGAACAATTTAGACAGGGTCATGAGAGAGCAGTCTTAGGATGAACACAAGATTTCTGACTTGGGTGCTTGGGTGTTGGTGATGACATTCAGCTAGATAAGGAAATCAAAGGGTAGGGCAAATGGACAAGATCAAGAAAGGGATGTCAAGCTAGAATGATCATTTTTGAGGCAAGAGGAGACCAACCTCGCCCTCCAAACCTGGCAAAGAAGGTAACTAGGGCATGGATGTAAATAGGTCTGAAGGGATGAGGGAGCATGCGTTTGAAGTTCATATTGTAGAACCTCATGTTTCACTATCGTATTGTAGGCAAACTCAGTTGCTATTATGGGATATGGAACATAAAAGGAGATAGAGACAGGGAACAACCTTTAAGGATGTGTGGAAATATGAGCAGGACATAGACAAAGAAAGTGAATAGAGACTATGACTTCAAAGCTGGCATGTGAGGGATATCTCAAGGTACCAAGGTCATATCTAATTCTAGGATTCATATCTAACTAGATCGGCAACAGAACCCATCCATCCTTAGAAGCAATAAACTAGGATTTGTTTAAAAATGAGAGTGTGTATGAGGATGACCAACCAAATTCTAAATTAAACTGGGCATGGGATCAGTTATATCTGTGGGCCAGTTGTGTCATCTCCCATATCCTATGGGATTCTTAGAGAAACCTCAAAATCCAAAGTTGTAATAATGCAGAAATTTGAGTTTATCTTCCATAACCCCATAATCAAGACAGTAGAAGTAAATGATCAATGGAACAAATAAATGAATCATGATGAAACTGTTTTCTTTTGCAGAATCTTTCCTTCTTTGGCACCTAAGCTATGAGTTGGATATGCCTCAGAGAACTCCTAAGTGGAGTAAATAAATACTCAACTGGGATTGGGAGGATTTGGCTGGCTGTTGTGTTTATCTTCCGTTTGCTGGTCTACATGGTGGCAGCAGAGCATGTGTGGAAAAATGAAAAGAAAGGATTTGAGTGCAACATTAGACAGCCTAGTTGTGAAAATACGTGTTTTGACTACTTCTTCCCCATCTCCCAGGTCAGACTTTGGGCTTTACAACTGATCATGGTCTCCATGCCTTCACTTCTGGTGGTTCTACATGTAGCTTATCATGAGGGTAGAGAGAAAAGACACAGAAAGAAACTCTATCTCAGCCTAGGTATGATGGATGGGGGCTTGTGGTACACTTACCTTATCAGCCTCATTGTTAAAACTGGTTTTGAAATTGGCTTCCTGGTTTTATTTTACAAGATGTATGATGGCTTTAGTGTTCCCTACCTTATAAAGTGTGATTTGAAGCCTTGTCCCAACACTGTGGACTGTTTCATCTCCAAACCCACCGAGAAAACTACCTTCATCCTCCTGATGGTGATTACCTCATGCCTGTGCATTGTGATGAATTTCACTGAACTGAGCCTTTTGGTTCTCAAGTACTTTATTAAGCGCTGTCTCCAAAAATACTCTAAAAGGCACAAGTCCTCAGTGTGTGAGCATCACCATTTCAGATATGATGAATGTGGTGAGATAGGGACCCTTCCACTACTCCAGAATCATCATTCGGAAATGGCCATTAGCACATCCCAGCGAGGTGAAACAAGACTACTTCGTGATACACAAGAGAGTTAAACAAGGAAAACCTACACCCCTTCTAAGCAAGACCTAGGCTAGGCTGGGGGAAAAAAAAGGGTGTTAACTTAATGTAATGTGGGAAGAATTTTTAAATTTTTCAGTATGTGCTCAGTTGTGTACGTTAGACAGGGGTCTCATTGTTTTGTTGTAGGGTTCATGTGGGTACATAAATTGTGTTTAAATAGTTAATTGCAAATTAGTTTGAAGAAATCCAACTAACAGCATTAAGTGCTTAGATCTGTCAAGTGGAAAATATAAAAAGTGACACTTCTAACAAATGTGATGGCCTCTAAGACACTGGCGATCTTTCCAAAGTAGCAGCCAAGGCTCCACTCACTCAGCTCGACTCAGTCTTTGTGGAGGATTGTGGTGACGGTCGGGGAGCAGCTAACCAGGGGCACACAGAAGTGTATTCAGTGAGAAGGCCTAGCCTGGGGAAAAGACTGCAGAGCCCAGGCCTCTGCAGTTTAGGTGTCCCTTGATATAAGTGGACGAGGGGAGAGGGAAGAAAGTCATCTTTTAGTGATATCCAAGTTAAATAAATATTATAGGAGGATATCTCACTTCAGCCTGAACTAAAGACATCTGAGTCACTCTATGATGGAAGGCATCTGAGTCACTCTTTGATGGAAGACATCTGAGTCACTCTATGATGGAAGGCAGGTCCCACAGAAAGCAGCACATTGATAGGGAGCGGGGAAGGACCCAGAAAAAGAATATGTCTAGTTGATAATTACTTAACACTTCTCTTTAACCACAGAACTGTGAAATACTTTCTAAATTCATTATTATTAGACCTTCTAATAATCAGGAATTCACAATGTATCATGTACGTTTGCCTACAATTTACTAAAACATCTCCTCTTCCTCTAGAATAGATAATTGTGTACTGTGCTATTACTTTCCTATTTAAAAAAAAAATCAGAGATATATTCATTTGGATTTTATATTCTAACATATTTACATTTCTCCAGAATAAAAATGAAGTGTTTTTGTGGTGTTATTTGGCTGTCATTGATACCTTTATTCATTTGCACTGGGTATGCTTATTCTGTGAAACAAATTTGTTTTGACAATTTTAAAATGGGATTTGCACCCTGCTTGGTAAAGATAGCTCAGAAATCATTCTCTGCTGGGAATTTTTTAATGAAAAGCCAATACATTAAAATATAATTTTAACTAAAACCAATTATGTCATGTTTTCATGGTCTGCCCTCTTTAGCAAAAAATGTTTTACAACTATTCATGTATAATGGTTATTTGTGTCATTATGTAGTTTACAGACCATGTCACTAACAGTGGTCATAATCTGTCCTAAAGCCTGTATCCTAGATAACAGAGAGGAAGGTGACCTTTGTGATTTTTCCCTTCCTTCAATTTATACTGCAGATCACTGCTAGATTCATGAGCTTACATCCAGGTACTTTGTACCATTTGACATGAAAACATCTAGTCTTCACAAATGCAGGTAACCACTGAAAGACTTAAAGGAATATATATATATATATTTTGACAGTGATAGGTAGTAAAATAGGTTTAAGATTTTAAAGCCCTGATCATGGCATAAAATCTAGAAAATAGGATTTTAGTGCACAGAACTGAAATGGAGACAGGGAATTTTTCAATCTGAGGATGTGCCTCTTCACATCAGTTAAGACAACAAGCTCTGCTCAAGCAAAAAGGATTAGTTGGATATGTACATTCCTTGCTTTTCCACTTTGCACAGAGGAGGCTGAAAGGTAATGGGAGCAAAGGCTGTGAATGAAGTTGTTTAGATAGAAAGTGGAATATTTTCTTCTTTAAGCTCAATTTACAAAATGTGTTTTCTATAAGAACATTCTGAAGGCTGCCTTGGTATCAATGAAGCCCCCAAGTATTCGACTACGAAAAACTGGCAGTTCAATTTTGCCACCTTTATTCTGTTTCTCTTATCAATAAATTAATAATAGAAGCCAGACACTGTTGTGCACCTTCAGAGGAATAATATATAATTCCTGTCTCGAGAAAATTTCTACTTTCATTTAGGAGCACAGAGATGAAAATAGGGTGGAATAGTCTACAATTTGTGTCCTAAAATTTACTAAAACATCTCCCTTTCCTCTAGAATAGATAATTGTGTACTATGCTTACTTTTCTATTTTTTAAAAAATCATCAATATATTCTCTTTGATCTCCCTCAATTGACCTTCCTTACTTGACCTCCCTACAACCTTCTGATGCTCAGAAAGTAGACAATTCCTTAGAGATGAAGAAAGTTGAGATCCAAAAAGGCAGTCACTTTTTTCGGGGACATATATCTAGTGAAAGCAGAGTTAATAAACGACAGGTCTTCCTTAAACCACTTTCTCACATTAGGCTTCTCAAATCACTAAACAGGTATCTTCCTAATTTCATTCATGCCATTCCTGATGTGCAGTTACTTTGACTCCCTAGTACTTGTCTCGGAAATCTTTCTGGTTATAGACTTTGCCCCTGGCCATAGGGTTTCCTTTAATATGGAGTTGGAGGAAAATTTTTTTCAAGTCCTTGTACAAAAGAACGCCAAAGGCTGGAAGTGGCTATGATTCCAGTCTTCCTGAGGAAATTAAATCAATTTCCTTAAGACAGACAGACTGCAAAGATGAGAGGGGTGGGAGAAAAGGCAGAGACCTAAGAATGTTTGAATTCCTCAATTCTGTTGTCTGACAACTGGCTCCATCTCTTATCCTTCCTGCAGTTCAGTTAAATGAATGATAAATTCCACATTCTCACTTCAGTTTCTATCTTGCAACTGAGTTTCTATCTTGCAACTGAGCGTCCTAATAAAACCATGTTCTTCATAAGTTTCCTTCCTGTATACTAGAAAAAAGAGGTAGGATACTTCTCTTGTACTTAGCCTTTCCTTTTTAGGCATCAAGCGTCCTTTTACATGTATGTTCATGTAGAATACTTGTGTAAATGGGGGAAAGATGTGGACGGATCTCAACATTGTTAAAGAGAGTGAGAGATGAACTTTTTCTTTATAAATCTATTCACTGTTTCACATTGCTTGTTCTTGAAATTTTAACAAAGCAATTAAAAAGCCCAAAGTGCCTCCTCTCCTTTTTCTAGATCACATTGCACCACATACATGTTAACACTTTCCTTAAATAGTGATGCAAATTTATTAGTTTACATTTTGTTTGTATATTTGATACTGTATAGAGAACAAAAGAAAGGGCATTTCACAGCTCTCTCAAAAACTGGCGAGGGAAGAAATAAGCAGTGTTGGAGCACATGGAGGCAAAAAAATATATAGGAATTATATATTATTCCTCAGCATTTAATTAAAATTTTTTATGACAAAGACCCAAGGGAGGTGTTCTAGGAGAGACCTACCAGAAGCTCTTTAATATAAAATTAGTTCTTTTCTCACAAAGCAAATCATCTGGCTGTACAAGACATTGGTGATTGTGGGCAATTCTGAGAATTTTCCACAGACCTCTCATGTTTCCACTATGCCAGAGACTCTAATAAACAACTTTCCTCTTCTAAAAAAGAGAAAAAATTATCTTTTAAAAAACTATAATGAAAAAAATACTATAATATGCCCATATCATACATAAAGCAAAGTGAAATGAGTTCTGGATGTTACCCAAATTGATCAACGTTCCCATCTACTTAAAAGTGAAATATCAGACTTTTCCCCAGCTATGGAGATTTAATTTTCTATTAAAAAGGAAAAGCAATATATGTAATATGTTATCTTAAAAATGTTTTTCAGACATTAATGCCTCCCATCAGAGTAGAGGTAGACAGGACTGCGGTATAGAACGGAGGATAAACCTACTTGTCTGTACAGAATAATAGGAAGTTGAAGAAGTGGACTACAGATTCCTATCTTAAAAAAAAAAAAAAAAGTCACTGTTAAACTCTGTGCAGTGGATTCGGGCCAAAAAAGACAAGTATTAAGCAATATAATTTCCCCATTTTTGCTATGAAAATGTCATTAACTAAATTCATGATCATTCCGTTACTAGAAGGGATATTAATCACCTTCTAGGTTAGCAAGTGCTTTCATTTTATAAAGCACTTATCTCAAAGGAAAAAGTGCAGTAACTTGAAATATGACTTTCTGTGAAAGATTAGCAAACCTGAAAAACCAATCTTCTTAGATTGCTCCTAATTACATTAATCTGATGATGACATTAAAAACTACTTACTGTTACTAAAGTCTTATTCATTACTTCATATCCTTTTATCTTCACAACTTAGGTCCTTGTACTTAGGAGCTCAGTCTTTCTTGGAAATAATCTTTGTGCTCCTTTTGCCTCTTCCATCTTTTGTCTACCCAATATTCTCTCTTCTCCACCTAAAATAATTCTGATTTTGTTGGGAGTGGCAATATGACTAGCTAAAAAAGCACATTCCAAATCTCCTTTGTATGTAGAGGTAACAGTGTAACTACCTCCTTATTGAAACCATCAGACTGTCTGATGCTTTGAAGAAAGTTGAAAAGTGGGGCTGACCTAGCTCGCATGCATCTTTTTGCTCCCCCACTCCCTTTCCTGCCTAAGACATCATAGTTAGAGCTGTAGTGACTTTTGAGGTTGGAAACAAGATCTTATGGATGAAAGAGCAGAAAGCTCCTGGGACATTGATGCCATTATGAAATTGCCATATCAGCTGTTCACCTATCCCCATGCTTTTATTTTTGTCATTGTTATGTGAGAGACAACTTAACTCTTACCTGATGTAAGTCATTTCCTTGTCAGTCTCTTTTACTTGTAGCCAAAAACAGTTCCTGACTACATTCAAGTTAGTGACTTGGAAGACACTGAGGCATATCTACTAAAGACAAAAGAAATGACCTGTATGTTGAATCGCAGAAACAAAACATGATTTAAAATCTCAGTACAATTTTGTTTAGACTAAGTCAGGTGAAATGGAACGAGTAATCATTCTGCATCAAGATTTAAAATCTTAACATGAGACCAGGACTCATACTAGTTCACAATATAAAGTCTTTGGCATTTTAG